CCCCCCCCCCCCCCCCCCCCCCCGCCGCCCCGCAAGGAAAATAGTTTATGTTTTGATGGAAGGACAAGAATATCATTAATCGGGTGTGTTTTTTTTCTCTTATAAATCATAACCTTCTTTTTATTGAAGATAAAACTGAGGTTCATTAACTTGTTTTTTATATGTTGATGGTCTTGAAACACCATAATAATCAAGTGGATTGGGTACATCAGGAAAGAAGACATTCGTTTTGTATACCTACAATATACATAAATAAAGTTGAAATTAAAAATCAATTTTAACTTGAAATCGAAGCAAAACATTACCGGTTCACCGAACCATGTTCCAACTTTCCAGCCTGGTACATCAGCCATTAATTTTTCTTCTTCATCACGGTTACGACGATATTGTGTTAATTGTAGTCGATCTTGTTCTGCCAATATCACTGCTTCACAACAATTACGACTTTCATCTAGTTCCATTTCTAACATAAAAAAACAAAATAAACCAGAATGAACAGGTATTAACTCTTCAGTAACAGTACCTGTTTGCCAATATTTTTTCTTTTGTTGTTGGTATCTCCAATATCCGTAAATATTTGAAAACACCCAAAGGCCAACGAATGGCCATAGTGGAATATATCTAACAGGTACACGTTTATAAGGAATTGATGTATAACCGCTCTGAGGCGGCAAATCTTGTCGATATGTTAAAGCCTTTGAAAAGCCTGTCATATCTGAAAGAAAACAAAAATATTTCCATTAATAGAAACTCTTGAATTTTACATAAGATAAGATAATTTATGAACTGTTTCTCTTCTAAAGAGATATTTAGAAGCACTACAATATAGTTCATTATCCTACGATAACAGTTTGCTGAGACTTTATAAAAATCAATTGATGTAGATCTTCATATATTTTCAAAATGCTAGGTTTCGTCACGCGAAAGATACAATGAAGAATAAGAACAACGCAACAACGTCGCACTGCACATAGAAAAAGCCCGTGAAAATTTCTTCAGGCTGTACAGATAAATTAAACTAAATCTCACACAGTGCAGAATAAATTATCCGTGAAACATTCGAAAATCGACTACTCAAATTTAAATGAGCTATTTGATAATAATTTCTTGTATTACCAGTATCTTTAATGTTAAAATCAGAGATGCAGAATCTGCACGTATGTGCACGTGGAAATACACGTGAAAAGGTTTTGAAAGTTGTAATTTTTGAAAATATTTCCACCGGAAAGAATGTGGAATTTTTCCACATGGGAAGACTTAAGAAACTTCCGAATAATAAGAAATAAACCGATAAAAGCCTTTTCTAAAGTTCAAATGCGGAAATTTTCCAAAACTTCTATTGTTTGTGGAAAATTTTCTAACTCATGGGTAGATTCTGCACCTTTGGTTAAAATATGATGAACTAAACATTTTTTGTCTGTTGCTTGCTCTCTCTCTGCTCACCTGAATAAAAGAAAATAACAAAATCAGCTGTAGTGTACAAAAAATGACGAATCAAAACAGTTCCGAAACGTTTATGCAGATGTCATACAAAAAATATGACTGATGGAACAAAGCATATTTCACCATAGGAAATTCCTAACCTGACTGCAGTGTTAGAAGTTACCCGATAATAAGAGCTGTCAAAAATGGTCGCCATCGAAATTAGAAGAAACGAAAAAAGATTCGGTCAGGATAATCTAGATTATCCTATTATCTACAGTAGCTGAGAAAAAATCGCCATTACGTCGCACTTGTGTCTCCATGACTTTTTCAGTCTACTGTTTGAGTAAGGCGAAAAAGGGAAAAGAAAATGCATTTTCTTAGCTTCTTCGACCGGACTGAAGAAACTAAATGTTTAACGTTTAGTTTGTTCGGTCTTTCGATCGTCTGTGAAGGAGTGGGCAGATGTCGACAGGAGAAAAAATACAGCGGCGCTATCAGCAGTTACAATCTATACTCTTTTCTTTCTTCTTAAGTTTGTATCTTTTTATTTATTTATTTGTTTGGGCATCGCTTTACAGACCAGTGACCTTTGGTGATCTGTTACTTATCGTAGATAAATAGTTAGTTTTAGTTTAAGTTGGGTGTTATTTAGTTGCAATCTACCTTTTTAAAGAAAAAATTTATTTGCCGCGAGAATTTTACTTTCTCACTAGAATTCTAGCTATTCACACGAGAATTTTACTTCATGACACATACGGGACCGTCGCGAACCTTCTACGGTACGATATATTAAGCTAAAAAAGACTTAGGTAAGCGAGGGAAAATTCCGTCGATTAACAGTGGCTGGTTCGAATCGTCCTGCATTGGTAATTTTTGTTGATTTTTTGTCAGCATTTGACAGGATGTGGTTTCCTGCATTAATTGCCACTCTGCAGGAACCTGACATACCTCTTCCATTGTTAAATGGATTTATTGGTGGTTACAGAATGGACCTTTTAGGAAGATATTATAACTTAGATAACTTCGTTATATTGGTCTTCCTCTCTCAATATATTTGAAGCACAAAAGAAGTACAAATATATACAAAGAGAGAAGGGGAAAAAAACATTAATCACTGATTCAGGAGTCACTTCCAGATCACATGCATTTTCTAAATATATTGTCGTATACTAAACACAATAAAAATGATAACAGTTAAACTAATTTTCTGTTACTATATTATTTCATTTGTAAATTGTGGTAATTTTTCTATAAAATGGTCTTATCAAAATCCGTTTAGAACAAAAATATGTGATGAATATTTCTTCTTATTAGGTATGTACAATACGAACACACACACCAAAACGATACTATATGACACTGGCTATGACTGTTATAAACAAAAACAAAATGTAAAGAAAATTTTTCACTCAAGATCTTGAAATTTCTGTTCTCAAGGTCTTGATTGGAGTAAGCCAAGGTGTTTCAAGATCTTGAGTGGGTGTATTTCTTGGTAGGTCTTGACTTCTTGGTGTTTTTTCTAAGATCTTGTGACATTTCTTAACCCAAGATCTTGGGTTCAAGAAGTTTCACTAGGGCTGCTAACAGAGTTAAGTTGAATGCCCGAAGATGTATTCTATTTTTTCTGCTCACATCTTGTTAGAACTCAACTAGATTTTAATCTGAACTCCAATATATATATTTAGTCGTAGTTTATTGCGCTGATAACTATCAGAAGAAACTGCGACCGATGACTAAAAACGTTAATCATCATGATACTCTTTCTATTACAACAAAACCTGTCACGATGTTTTATTTATCGACAATCATCGTCAGAAAATTGTTTCCTGTACTAGACTAATAATCTGTCGATATATATCGGGATAACCGCTACATTTTTCTGTATCTCGATAACTAATCTAATTATAAGTACTTTTTCCATAGGAGTTTTTCTGTGTCCTAGTACATCACTTGGAATGCCACGTCTTATAGGTCCTTCAACATGTCGTAAAGAGCTAGAAGAAGTTTCATGTGTTCTTTTAATCAGTTATGTGTCAGTCAAACATAAGGTCACGCCATTTTGCTTTTCTCAACCTGGTCCAGTATTTCTCTCAAATTTGGGCCTCTGAATCCCAAAAACTATTATATGCACTCTTATTCTGTTTCCTAAACTTTATCAAACAGTACGACAGAAATTAGTCTACTTTCGTTCCTTAAAGCTATGTAACTCAATGTGCTCTCTGGAACGGCGTAAGAAAGAAAGGAATTCTAGCTTTCATTTTTGAGTTTATTATATTTTTTCCTGTGACACGTCGTCAATCCCTCTGACCTTTCATCGACATTCTCTTGTTTCTTCTTTTCCATTTCTAAAGTATATTGCCCATTTGTTCTTCCATTTTTCTTGAATCAAAATGAAAATCTGAAAGTCGCTTTTCAGAAATGACAACATCAGTGTTTTTTTGTGACCTACACGGATTAAGAAAACATAAGCCGATCCGACTCGATAACAACTAAACCCGAAACAATAAAGTCACCTCTGCATGAATATTGAAAACAACACATGAATAAAACAGTAGAAAAGCAATAACGGATGTATAGTCGTTGATTTCACTATAGGAAGCACTCTCTTCTGTGCAAAGAAAGCAATTATTAATCGGTTTCGTGGATGCAGTTGTTCTGAAATAAGTATATATTGAGGGTAATCTACCGGAATTTTTTCAACGAAAGTATCTTAACTGATGACTAGTTATCGTGCACACCGTAAAAGAATGTGTATCTGGAAAGCACGGTTCCGATTTATCACGCTTTCCTTCTGAAGCAGTTTGAAAATGCTACTCTAAGGAGCACTTTCAAAAAGTGTTCTTACCTGGAATACTTTTACAAGCAGTCCAAAAAAGAAAGCGCGAAAAATAGGAACCGTTCTTTTCAGGTGCACTTTAAAAAGTATTGTTTCTCAGCATACTTTTGTAAGTACTTCTGCTTGAAGCACTTTTCTAACCGAAATACTGCGTAGCATTTTTTACTACGTTTTTTTCGCGTATAGATTATCGCATTAGGCGGTATCATTATTTCTCGAATTCTACGTCAAAAAAAACTATCTGTTGCTCTTAATGTTATAATATTGAAAACGACCAAAGTTCGCAGCTATAGGACAACAGGTAGAAAAACATGAGTAAGGTGCAGTGGAGCTTACCTCAGCTTTGAAGCAGCAAAGACTCGAAGAATACATAGGCTCTTTCGTCCTGGAATTTCCTTTTTACGTGTAACTACAGAAAGTTAACAGAAAATGAAAAAAAGTTGCTCATCCACGTAAGCTTTTTTGAAACAAGCTAGAGCGTTACATAAATTGTACATGAAACGATTTAAAGCTATAAGAAACAAAGCAGAATGAGCTAAATAGACCTTTATTTATAAGATTTAAAATTTAAGGTTAAACAAAGGCATTAAATACTTAAGCGCTCATAGTGCTAATTATTCTGTTCTAAGTGCTCTCTCATGGTTTTTTGTGAAACAATTACCTTCAGCTCAAGAAAGACGCACCTTCCAGCATTAACTATTTGAGCAACCTGGTCGACGTCTTCTTTCTGCGCCCTACTAAAAAGCAGCTAAAAGCTTTTGGGTGTTGGGGAGCTTATCGGAGATAGTGAACGGCATATTGGTGTTTGGTTGACCATCTGTGGTAAAAAGTATTTCCGCTATTGATTTTTTAGTCGTCGATGAAAAAACTTCTATAGCTTATTATTTTCGTAAAATTAAAACTGAAGAAGTTTATAAAGTTTATAAGATCGCGAACCCAGAACTTTTTGAAGTGTTAAGGAATGGGTACATTGAATGTAAAAAGTGTTATGTCATCAACAATAAAAAGATAAACGAGCAAGAGATACATATTATCTACCGCAGACAGATAGTTGCAAATTTGAATAGTCTTGTTCATTTGCTTCCAGTTTGCCCTTATTATCAAAAGATCAATTACAGCACTTTATTAGGTTTTTTTCAAGTAACTAACATAATTACTGTGTCATTTAAAAACCTGCTTTCTATCTTTTCGCCTTCTTTTCCGAAATTGGAAAGTTGAAAGATCTTTTCCGAACATGGCCAATTCACGCGACAGGTTTGTTGCGCTCTTGTTCTTTGAGTTAAAGCACTGTTTTTATTCGATACTTCGGCCTTTGGTGATCTGTTACTCTTCGTGTACTGGCGAAGTCGCCAACGACGACGAATCATATTTCTTTTGTCGAAGTCGTTGGCGAAATTTTTAAACTGTTTAATGCTGCACATATCTTCGGCCATCGTTGTGAACTATCGCTCT